GTTTTTTTCTCTTTTACTACTAAGAAGATGGAACATTACAAATGTACCTATTTTCATGTGGAAAACAGAACCGATTCGAAATACTTTGTTCTCGACGCAGTTAGACGATTTCAAACTCTTGCACATTACTCGATTCAAATTGCCATACGATCAGTAGGTAACATGAACATGTTGTAAAATGCTCAAATGTACCGATAACGCGTTTACATAAGTGAAAATCGGTATTGACAAAATACAGCCATTCCATCACTACTGAAACTGTAACAAAAGTCACAAAAAGTCATATACACCATTTCATCTTTAACGAAAATAAATGGTAAAATTCCGAGAAAAAATCATATAAAATAAAGAATGCAATATTATCTGTTGTATTTTTGACAATATTGGATTTAGCAAACACTGACATCATCATGGCAAGAACTACTTCTAATCGAGAGACAAAATCAAACAGAGCTTTATGTTCAACTTGAATTCGTGGTTGTTTTTTCTGAATTTTACGACGACCTACAGCAAATGTAAACAAGGTATCAACAACCACATAACATCCGAATAAGCCTACATCAAAATACTGTTTCTCCTTCAAATGATAAAATAAATAAATAACATCTCCGCTAACAACCAGCATCCATAATAGACCATGATAAAAAGTATTCCATATAATTGTTTTGCGTTCAGAATTGAATTGTAAAGTAGAACAAAATTGAAGATAAAAGAAAATATCAACAATCGTTGATGTTAAACCAGCATATTTGCTATTTTCTTTAATTTACCACGATGCATCATATATGAAACCAAACTGAGCAATAACAGGTAGTAATATCATGGTAACTCGCAGAAATCCACCAGGTTTTTGATAATGACCACGATAGTCCGTCAAACTGGGATAGTTTTTAGTAGTTAAAATATTAAACGATAGTGATTAATTTTCTCGTTTTTTACCAGAATGATACACAAAAGTATTTAAGCTTTTCCTGGGAACATTCAATTCAAGACTATAAACAGCATGACATCTTCTGTAATTAAATTAGCAATTCTAAAACAAAGCAGTAAACCGGATAAGATGGATTTGTCGTATTCCAAAATACTTGGCTTCCTTTTTTCAATCAGAACTCTTCAGCAGTCAGTAAGTTCGTAGATGTCCACACCCGATCTGTGCAACATAATTATTCACTTATATTGAAGATATAGGCAACCATATATTTACATACGGATCTGCTGTTTTTCCGTCCTTCTACTTTATGTGAAGTGCAGGCAAAGTTGTTCCTGTTCATGTTTGGCAGAAAAACGTTTTAAACCTTTTCACGTTTAACGAAACACCCGTTTGCGTCATTCAGAATACCCACAACCCATCATTTATCCCTTGTTTTGCAAATTTAAAATAAACCCCCCCCCAAAATAGAAGGCCACCCTATATTAGAAGGGCACCCTAAATAGAAGGCCACCTCAGAGGCAATTCTGTAAAATCCATATTAAAAGGCCATGGCCTTTTATTTTGTCTCATGAT